TAGTCCTTCATAGCTTGTTGTATAATCTCCCTATCCCATACCTGCACAAACAAGAAATTTCGATTTTTAATAAAGAATGGATGTTCGTTCCATAGCCGGACTACTATTTGGTTGTTCCGCGAGCTACAACTTCAAGGGCTTACATGGTGAAGATTGGATTTGTGCTTGTACCAACGCAAGTCTATCGTGTTTCCTCCCTCATCTGTCGTGAACCCGACATGCATTGGCTGCCAAAGGATGCACGAAGATGATCAGAAACTAAAAAACTTGGCATGAAATTCATAGAAATTATATCCCAAGAGAGCTAAAAAATAACATTCATATTTGCTGGAATTGCCCACAGGTATGTATATTACCTGATGGATATCTCCCATAAAGTGTGACAAGAAAAGCAAGGCCTCAGTCATATTATCTGCAAAGATATTCAAACACCAAACAAACTTTGATATTATTGTCCGTGCAATACAAGAAATTAGACATTGACGAACCCTAAAGCAATATCATCAATCTATATGTAAGAAAATCAGGGTTCCTTACATCGACGGTCAGATGTTCCTTCTGTGTAGTGTAAAAGCTGAGAGGTGAAGTTTTGGACGGCACCAGCAACACACATGTTCTTCACGCCATGTTGATCATGACAATCCCCTATTTTTTTCAAAACCAAACTTTACCTTAATGTTGCTTTATTGCTAATCAAGCAGTACTAAATACTAATTAGGCAGGGGGAAGCTTTACTTGAGTAGTCAAAGGTGCAAGCATTATCCGGTGTATCGATGAAGTGAAGCGGGCTAGTCCATCTGTATCTGTACCAATGCCTGACCTGATCCGGCCATACGCAAAGAGCTGATAAATCACCATCGACGTTGTGAGGTAGTAAATTTCGAACTGCTTCTGAGGCCTCGGGCTTTAGAAGTGCCTGCAGTTTATCATCACTAATTCATCAGGATATTTGAAGGATTTGAGCTTCTTTGAAAACACAAAATCTAGAACTGGTCAGCCTTGCTTTTTGTTTCCTTTTCTTGAGGGCATGCAAATTGTGCAATCTGGATGATCAATTAATCTAACAAAGATTAAAAAGAAATTCTAATCAAGTGGTTCGAAATCTTGATAGATTAAAGATATGACATAAAAAAGATGTTCAGAAATGTAAATTACGAGGAGGGATAGCTGTTATGTTCTTATTGGACAACATGGACTCTAGGGCAACTCATTTAACGAAAATTATCTCATGCAGACTCTAATGGTGCACATCAAGTGTGGGCTTGTGTGGTCGATGCCATTAAGGTCCACATAAGAGGCTACCTCGCTCATTTACCTGCGCAATCCGGCACGTCATAATATGACCCTCTTTGCTCCATCCTTGAGCTCTTGGAACTAAACTGCAAACAACAGCCAACAAAACAAACCAATGGAAGGAAAATCTCCCAAAGTATCTGTACTTCTTCTCCATCTTAATTCTCTCTGTTGACACTAGTGTACATATATACAGATTATTTGTAGGCCCAGCAGAAGGGATCTTATGTTAACTTACAAGTCATCAAAGGTATTCAATGAGTACAAGTTTCGGCTTCCAACTAATTTAAGTACACCAAAAGTCATTCTTTAGCCCAAGCAAGGTGGGGATGAGGTGGATCACAACATATTAGGGATTTACTGAGAAATAGGTTAAATTGCACTAATAGTCATTGCAATTTACTCAGATTTTCGCTTTCATTTGTGTTGATTTTTTTGCTGTATTTCGTCATTGTAGTTTCATTATGTTTTCGCTACAATCCAATCCGTCAACTAAGTTGATTTCTCCATCCATTTTTGTTGCACATCTTCTTGTTTGAAAACCCCATTTTAGAAGAACGGATTGACCTAACGGTCCCAACCGAATGAAACTACAAGAAGGTGAAAATCCAGATAAACTACAGGGATTATAAGTGCTATATATTTAGAGTAAAGCTAGTGAGACTAAATTTTTGTAGAGAAAATTTTGAAAACTAAAGGACATTGAAGTTGATAATTGGTTTATTACTTGAGCGTTAAATGTACTCATTCCTATTTGTGACATATCATTTAATTTGTAAATTTTATCTCTGAATTTAATCTTCCTACCATTATTCATATATTTAGCCTATGACTTGACGAGTTTGGTACACGTGGGAGGTCTCTTTCCTATGGGGAGCTTCCACTTCCACCTGTAAGCAATAATGGTGGGCCCCACTTTATGTCTTCCTCTGAAGGGAAGAGGATCCTCTCCGATTCACTTTGTTGGATCATAAGAATTCTTGTATTTTAACCGTTCATTGTACATTATGCGATCGGTTTTTATCAGGTATTATTTGTATTTAATTTTAAATAATAAAAAAATAATTTATGACTTCAAGATACACGATGAATTACTAAAATGTAAGATTTCTAAAATTTTTACAATTTGGATCCGGATGAAATCTAAATCTTCTTTGAAGGTCTTTCTTTGTCCCTTTATCTTCATGCATCAGCAAATTTTTTCTTTTTTTTTTTTTTTTTTGGGGTTGGGGAAGAGCAATTTTATTGCTTGAGAAGAGAAAACACGGCTGACGGGTAGCAGCCACACGGACCCCACCTTGAGCTAGCCTATTCTCCACAACAGGTAACCGGGAGAGGCAGTAATCATCTAATAATCACATGATAACAACAAAATTAGATGAGAAAATGATCCATTTCCATAAGATGCGGAGAAAAAGTGGATGTAATTATGTAGGCATAGGTTTGTCATTGCTGCAGTAGTCAGCTAGAAGTCTATTATTTTACGTTTTGCAAAAATAGTCTTTTATACAACTGAGATGATACGGTGACAGACAATATTCTAAGTCAATCATGCATTATCATGTGTGTGAGAATTAAAAAAGGATAAAGCATGATAGGCATGAAATTGGGGCTTCGATGTGTAGGTTTTATTCCATTTTCTCTCCTATGATTGCACATGTGTTTATCTACTTTCCTCTTTCCAGAATAGTAAAAGAAAACTTCTATAGGTCCTGTTGTGAATAAAAGCAATTCTTCAGCAGAAAAGGGAACATATATATGCTGGTCAATGTGCTTCCGGGTGTGGCATTCCTGTAAGCATATTTGCATGCCAAACTAATGCTTTCAGAAGCATATACCTATTATGTCCAGCAGAATCACGGCAGTCTCCTATCCAACAAGGGCATAATAACATTATCCTTTACTTTCAGATTGAACTTAAACTGTGCAATCGCTGATCAGTGATCACACATGCACCATATACTCCACCACCCGCAAGCTACTAAACCAATATATGTTCCATACGCGACAATCCCATGAGCATATAATTAGAGAAACATTCATAACATGTAAGCCATACGACATTAACATTCATATAACTACTCCAGTATTTGTAGTTACACTTAAATCCGGTGTGTCAACATAGTGTAAAGGACTACTCCATCGCCAACGGTAGCTGTGTCGAATCTCGTCATCAGGCCTGGAGAAAACTTCCGCAAGATCACCTTCAGTAGATGCCCGTAGCGATTGTTTCACTGCAGCTAGAGCATCTTCATTCTTCACTCAGAAATCCAGGGATAAAACAAAGGCAGGAAGCTGCATGAAGATGTTGAGCATCGTCCAAATTAACAATGTACAGGACTGCACTACACTTATTGATAGATAGGACCACGACCACCCATGGGGGTGTGACCTTGTTGATTAGGCCAGAAAGGACACCAACGTTGTCCTCCAGGTAGTCCTTGAAGAAACCGAGCAGAATCATTGAGGGTGGTTTGAAGCAAAGAAGGCCACTGCAAAATTTGCAAGATTGCAGAGGTCAGTTTACTGCGCAGTAAATTTTTTGCTATTATTTGATTATATTTTTGTTCAACAAAAATTTGTAAATTTAGGAGCTGATTTTTTGCTGTAATTGATAAAGATTCAGTTACTTTTGTTTCGTACTTTGATGTTTCAAGAATCTAGATTGTGAAATAGAAAAGATGCCAGCTTTGGTAATTTGGTATGGAAGTTTAAAGTTTGAATCCAGACTGAAAATTTTACACACAATATTATGCGAGGACAAATTCTACAAGTGTCAATTAATAAGCAAGTAACAAAAACTAGCTAGTTTGGAATGGCAACGTTACATGCATATACATAATAATCGATACCACACGACATGCATATATATATACATACGTGTGCGTGTGTGTGTGTGTGTGTGTGTGTGTGTGTGTGTGTGTAGTGTTTGCTTGTAATCAGGAAATACGAATCCCAGGAGAAAATGAATCTGAGTACAAAACTGAATGTAAATAAATCATTGTGAAAATTTGGAAACTAAAGAAAATCTTTCTGTTCGGTTGTAAATCGCCGAACGTCTGATAGGTGTTGGTGGGTACAGCTATCAAAATCGTGGGGATGGTTCCGTGGGTTCTTGCCGAACAATTCGCGAATGCATCCCAACACTGCATACGCAGCTGCCGGCTTGTGGTACAAAAGTCTAGAGAAACAAAGCGGTAATTGTAAGGGAGGTGGAGAACAATGTGTGGCCTGCAATTGTTGCTAGCAAACTGTGATCTACAAGTCTTTTCCATTATCTTAGGCATTGTTCTCAAAATCTCCGCCTAACGTCGCCTAGGGGTTTGAAAATTAAGAAAGGACGCCTAGATCTACTGAGGCACCTACCTAGGCATCCGCCTAGCCCGTCAAGACCCGTCTAGGCACTCGCTCAGGTTGCGACTCATTTAGATAGAAAATAGATAGCTTTCATTTGCATTTTTTTTTTCAATAGATTGTAAGAGACTTGTTGAATACTTAAATGAACACACATTATATGCTTGTCTCCCATGTTTTCATTATGTTCCAATAGCTCATAATATATATGTCATTCTATTTTGTAGTTTATGATGAAATTATATATATTTTCAATATAAATAGACCGCCTAAACGCTAGGCCCCAGCCCTTCGCCTGACTAGTGCCTAGCGTCTTTTAGAACCTTGATCTTAGGCATCAGAAGCTCACCGGCTCTTGGAAAGCAATCCGCATATCGGAAAGATACTGCTGCCTGTGTGATTATATAATTGTTATTGTAATTAAGTAATCAAGTGAACAAAATGGTCCAGACATCGTGATGTCGGGTCTATAATAACGCTGAATGCCCTTCTCGACATTCATGCAAAACTGATCCATCTTATTAATCTATAATAGTGTCGTCTTCAATCGCCATTTAGGGTACGAATTAAGTGGAACTTTCATTCACTGCAAATAGCTTCGACAGCTAAACTCTTAAGCACTCCGGGGCAAGGATCACCCAAGGTTGCCGCGGAGATAGGGATTGAACATCCTTCTTGGCCAAGGCAAGCCTGCAAGTCCATTGAAACAAGCAAAGGTGTTAAGCATGTTTAAGCCATCTCTAATTAGAAACTACTATTTGCAATCCCGTTTCACCCTCTTACACCCGGAAGTCGATATTTCGTAGTTTTCGACTCCTAAAAGAGGAGTGCAAGAAGCTCATTGGAGGGGAGTGTGAATAGCATTCCCCTACGAAAATATATGAGTTACTGGTTCAACATTATGATATGAATAAGCTGAGGTTTCCCTTACCTGCTGAACGATTGATAAGATGTCAGCACTGCAAGCTCCTGAAGCGAATGTGCCACAATTTCCAATAGGAGTTCCAAAGCTAGCAAAGTTGATTGAAGTGATACGCCATCCTGGTTCGCAGGTCAGTTGAACTTCAGGGTTTTGAGACATGAATTCCGAGTCTGGTTTCCAAGAACTGGCAGGCGGAGGATCAGTCTCAGATACATGTGCGCATATTTCTTGGCCGGTTTTTGTCCTCAAAGAAATCTTTGAAGGGTCACCACCAAGCTCTTCGTGGAGAACTAGAAGGTTATCTCCGGTATGTACCCATGTACGGGGAATATGATACCTAAACATTATGTCTTCGCATTTGTTAGTAAATCTAAGTGCAAGAGATGCATAATACTGTATCGTGCAAAATATATACAGGATTACAAAATGAATAAAACCAGCAATGTTCACTCTTACAGAGTTTGAGCCGGTTGACCACAGTTCCTTAGACATTTAGATGCGTTATAGGCTCCTCTGTAGTCACAATCACTGCCGTTTACGCAACCAGTTGAGGGCGAGAGGTAGGCTTGCCAATATCTCCCTACACTCTGCCCATTAACCCAAGCTTGTCCCTTTCCCATGCTAGCAAGATTTAACGCCAAAGGACCCTTGCCTTCAGGAGCAAGGAATGAAACCTGAGGATGAGAAGAACATCAATTGAAGCGGGGGAAAAGGAAACAGAAAAACATCGAATCAAGCATGCCAACTACTTACCTTGTACCATATCAAACTCTGATTAAGTGGTGGAGCAGACCCTGTAGTCCACAGTGAACTGTTCGCAAGGCTTATGTTATCCAATCCAAGGTATTCCCCCTCAAGTCCCACCTGGTAGGTCCATTCTTCAAAAGAAAGATCATTTGTTCTGTTCTTCAAGTCTCTAAGAACAACAGAAAAGATTCCTGCTCCTGCAACATCGAACCATGGCCCGTAATTCTGGAAAATAACAGAGATTTAGTAACAGTAACTACTGCATAAAATTTCTGAATAATTACACACACCGTGTTTGTATAAGCAGAGGAAACGGTGCAAAGATGGCTGTTAACAAACAGTTTTTTACGTACCTGTACACCAATCATCATACTCAACAAATCTATGGTATTGTTTCCATGGTTTAGAGTAATCTTCTCGTCAACAATGAAACTTGCATCTTCATGGTTACCATATCCAAATCCTTCAAGATAGCGATATAAAATGTTCATTTAGATGCACAAAGGACATAAGATTCAAAGCTTCCGAATAATTAGATGGTCAGTTTTGCGCTTCTCTGCAATTCAATAGATTACTTACCCACAAGTCTTTTATTTACGAAAACTAGGGCTGCATGTCCCAGACTCTCGATGTGTAAAAAAAGTTCTTTTTCTTGACGGGGTATTATGTTTGCGTCCACATTAATGCTGCCAGTATGGTGAAGAATATTCAAGAACATATCAAAATTTTGATAAGAATACAAATAACTAGAATGCAAGTATGCCAAGGATTTGAAATGCTGTTCTTATGAGCGCAGAAGATGAACAAAACTGGATTCTTTACCTTATTGTATACCATAAATAATCACTAACATCTTTCGTAGTACTTATCTGCTCCAGTAAGCCCGAGTCAGTAAACGAATTGTTACTCCAAGTACCAACTCTCTCTTCATACCAACTCCATGAAGCTGGTTCCAGTATAAAATCATGTACACCGGGTGTGAGGGCGAAAGGAGAAAGTCCAATATTCCTTTGTGAGACAACCTTCAATTGTGACACATTAATGGGAGGAAAAATAATCAGGCAAATGTTTGGTTCAAGAGATCTGGGACACTCTGTTTTGTGCTAAAAGAAGTTGCGAGTCCCGATTGGCCCATGAAATACTAAATTGCAACAGAATCCATACCTTAGCGGTGTTAAATATAACATTCTTACAATCCGGAAGGATGCTTACAGACCAAGCTGGAAGGAAATAGATATTTCCATTAAAAGTGACATTTGCATCTGAACTACTGTCATAATTAGCAAGAAATGCCGCACACTCATTGGATGTTTTATGGTAGATATGTGCCTGATGAAAGAAAAGGGAAACCCGAAGTCAGGATGGAGTGAGAGATATGAACAAGAGAAAACAATGGTGAATACTGAGTTTTCGAAAACAAATTGATTTTTAAGTCCAGAAAATATATATTTAAAAATCTTGAAATATGTCGCACACCTCTAAATTAGTACCAAGTTTCATTTGTGTCGGATCAGAGCTGATCATATATTCTTCACACTGTTTTATGGCCAGGTGCAAGTCTCGCAGGTGTCCCCATTTTGGCTGTCTACGAAAACCTGCATAAGATGCTTCAGAAGATGAAACAACAAAAGGAGATGTGCATATCAAACTAAGTGTTGGATAAAGTTACCATATTCATCTATAGGAGCATCATAATCATAGCTCGTTGCAACCAAAGGGCCTCCAGCAGTTCGCCCAAAGTTGGTACCGCCAAAATACTGCAAGGAAATGTCGGAGAATGAAGACATAACGATGATGTTTATGGAATCATATGGTGATGAAAATGCTTACATTTACCAATCAAGGTTAGAACTAGAGTTAGTAGAGAAAGAGAATCTGTGTAGCTTACCATGTAATAGTTTTGAAACGTGCCACCTGTTTCGAAAAATCGTGCAACAGCAAAAGCAAGGTCCTCAACAGGTCGAAAGGGGATTGGATTGCCAAATCCAAGGAACCTATACATAACATATGAAATTCAACAACCTGCACTTCCAAGTGAACTCCAAAGAGGACTCCTGCATCCTATACACAATTTAATAGGCTAAATAAGCAAAGATTGTTACCATCCACTGTAATTCTCTGTCCACATCTTCGGTTTGGATGGGGAATTTGGGGTAAACTCATCGCAATAAAATCCATTGCATGTGTTTATCTGCAGGTAATTTATTAAACTAATGAATATCTCGGGAGTTTGCTCTCGGACAAAACCCCTTCAACCCTTAAACTGGAATCACGTAAAGAACAATGAAAAGGTGGGAGAAACTCTGAGAAGATATATCTAGATGCCTCATAAGTTAAAAGATAGTTTTACTTCTTGAAGAAAAGCAGTGTTCTTGATATATAGGCTACACCATTTCATGAAAAATCAAGTTCAAACACTCACAACTGGATCCGGGGCGTCATCTTGCACACACATCACCCAAGGTACAGATGTATTGAGACTAACAGCAGTTTCTGCAGCCCATTTGACATATAATTCTCCGCCAACTCCATACGACCCTTCAACATTTCCAAATTCATTTTCAACCTGTGAGAGCACATGTAAGAATGCGTTTGAAGAAATAAAAATTGAGTAATGCAAATTATAACTGTTGGTTTTGTTTTGTTAGCCTGATTACTACATCAAATTGCACGAGAAAACACCACGAGTGCCCTAGCTAAGTTTTGGATACATAATCTGCATGACCATCTTATCAGTATATGTCTCGATACGCAATTGACTCAGAACAGATGCAGTTGGTAAATTGGCTAACCGTCAAAGGGAAGCACCTGAGCAAGAATGATTGGGCCTCCTTGTGATGCGAAGAGATTCTCCATTTTCATCATTTCAACAATTTTTGCAAGAAATATCTTCATTTCCTTCTGCATTTTGACAAGTATAAAATTTACCCATCCATAAGACTCAAAAGGAAACCACTTGAAATTTGGGCATTAATTTGAACAACTTTCTTTTAAAAGCATAAGCAATGCAAATAAAGATGGAAAAGTAAGAGGTCAGGTTTTACTCATGAAGAAACCATTTCCACTGCCAAGTATAAACATATCAAGTACCTTAAAAGGTGCATTTGTTGTGCGAAACTGAATTCCGGGAATAAAGTGTAACCAAATTGGAAATCCCCTGTCATATGATAGCAATATCTAAAGAATCAGTTCAATGCCAAAACAGAGTGAAACATACAAAACTAAGAAACTGATGCCGGTGCAATGAACATCACAAGAAACAAAACAAACCCGTAGTTCCATTCAGCACAAGCATACGGGCCAATCCTCAAATGAACTAGAAGACCTGCTTCTTGGACTGTCTTCACAAATTTCACCAAATCAAATCTGCCTTCAAAGTAGTACTATGTAAAACGAAAAAACCCGTCAAATTAGAGACAAATCTAGTGAGAAAATAGTTGTCAATAGACCTAAAGGACTTAACTAGCTAACTGAGAGGCTGCAATTGCTAGGGTTACTTATATATACCTGGCCTTTTACTGGCTCATGGTAGTTCCAAAAAACGTAAGTCTCAATCACGTCTATTCCCCCTTCCTTTGCTTTCTCAATAACTTCCGGCCACACCTGCATTGCCCCCCAACAAGAACAATCCCACCTTGTCATTATAATTCACCCTCTAATACCCTTTTTCCAAAGGTTCTCAATAAGCACATTGCAATCACATAAACAAACAGATGTTTAGAACTCACCTCCGGAGTGGTTCGAGGGTAATGAAAAGAGCCCGACTGCAAAATCCGCCGCTTCCCATCAATAACCAGTGCTCTGTGGTCATATGTCACGGTGGCCGAAACCACAGTTTCAGTGAAATAACCTTCAAAATCTAAAAGGACAAACAGAACTAATACTACCCAATTCTTGCTTCCCATCATTCAATTCAACAAAATTCACAAAACCCAGAATTCGAAAAAAATCCCAGAAACTTCAAAAACCCCTCAAAGATTAGAAGAGCATGAGAGTGATATAATCATAAATTCCCGAATTTAACATGTGCGTTGAACTGGGTATTCGATTATTTTGTTTGTTGGCACTGAAAAATGCAAATGATCGTACCTTGATGATTATCCAGACCGATGACATTTACCAAGCTTGGTTTTTGGAGGGAAGCTGATGCCTTTTTCTGTTTTGGTTGGAAGAAGAAAACAAAGGCGTTGCTGTCAAGTGATAAAATAGAGATAGTTTGCTTCATTTTCGACCGTTAATTTGGGCAGCTTCAAACGTAACTTGTCGTTCAAATCAGTTGGAGTTGAGAGTCTTGAGACCCTGCATTTGAAGATGAATTTCATTAGAGTATCGGGAGATGTCAAATTTTGAACATAAAATTTAAAGTTTGACAATTTATGTGATATTTTGCCATATTTTAAAGTTTTATTGTTCACCCAATATGTCAAATTAAATTATTATTTTATGTCAAACTTGATAGCAACTCTCCTGCTGTCAATTCATGTCATCGCCACATAGTTGGAGAACATTAGTGTGATTTTTATTTATTTATTATTATAACTTATGTAAACATTTTGACATTTTCTTTGAAAAAGCTCTTAGACCGCAATGTTAATCACTATTTTGGTCTTTATTTTGTAAAGAGGAATTGACCATTAGAGGATGATTACAAATCTCTTTTGTTGTAAAGGTAAAATTAACACAAGTAACAAAATCAACATTGAAAATAACATGTGTCGTATTTCAACTGCCCGTGTATGTTTACCCCATAAAATTTGTGGTACATATAAAAACATTCGAGACATTGTCCATGCTAAAGTTCGTGTTTGTCGTTTTGTAGATTTTCTTATTTCAAACAAGGTTTGTAATCTTGTCCAACAATTACCATTTTTTCATTTGAAGAGAAGTATGATATTTGTTGTTTTAAAATTTTGAGCTTGTTTTGGTGGTTAAGATTTTCTTTATCAACCGCATTATAATGACTTAAACAAATAGATTTTAAAACTCACCTCCGGAGTCGGAGTGCTTCAAGCATGATGGTCATATGTCACAGTGATAGAAAGCACATCGATAAATATTCCATCCAACCAAATACATCATTGGTTTGTATAGACTGGGGATTTGCACCTGTGCGTATGGTACAGGCACATGAGCCAAACTCGAGGCCTGGCAAACTTTTACGGTGACAAATCGTTATGTACGGATAACTACTTAACTTTTTAAAGTAATTTCAAATTAATTTCAACATTTTAAAACATTATAAAAAATTACGTAATGTTTTAAAAGTTAAACATTCGTTAGGTCACCGACATTAAGTAATGACTTTACCAACACTAACAAACGATGTTTCTAATATTAAATGATGGGTTGAGCAAATTTTAAAGTTGATGTATACTAATCATTGTCCATAGAGCTATAATTCATCAAATGAACTATTTTTAGCCAAATTAAGTCATAAATTTGTTAAGCTAAACAACGTTGATTTGGAAATTCAAAATTCTATAGATGACTTGAGAATAAAAATCCGCTTTAGTACTTGTCCTCATCATAATCACTTAACGTTAATGAACCAAGTAGATGTCCACTTTTCAAAATGTTAAATAGTTATTTAGAATGTTTTAAAAAATCAGAACAATTTTAAAATCACCTCCGAAATTTGAGTAATTATTCAAATTTAACCCTTATTATAAATATAATTTGTGGGTCCGTTCACTGTCAATTAATCAACGTGTGATGCAATAATTGGAAGAAAAAAAACCGACGACTCGATAGAATGGTAGCAGCTAACAGAGGTCTCTGTTTTTTCGTGTGCAAAATTGAATGCCATAAGATAATTGAGAGGGTCGTTGGACGCTAATGTGATACATGAGGAAAGCATTCAGCTTCCGATAACAAGATATCAATCGGCGTGGACACTCACTGATCCAATTCAAGTAACAAGCTCTAGTGGGTTGGTTAAAATCCGATTTGTTGACTCAATTTTCAGCACAAACACTAAAGGGTCTCTCAGATTTCTTGGATTGGATCCGCTCGATTGCTCGGTTTCGGATTCGGGTGAGTTTCTTCTTCTTCTGCTCCTTCGATTCTTGCAACTTGTATACAATCTTTACTTAAAGACCTTAGCTTTAATACGATTTCTCGAACTAGTTGAACTGTTACAGAAAACCATGCTCTTGCTTTTCATTCTTTCACCAAACATTCAAAATCGTGAGCTAATGATCGTGTTTTTCAGGATGTTAGTTTCGATCAATCATGGGTTTTTTGTGTTGTATGTGAATTGTCAGTGGTTTTAGAAGATTCAGATGAAATGCTTGATTGTCTTGTGAAATCAAGATTTATGTTTTGTTGGAATTTTCGAGCTTTAGAGGTATAGTGGTAGCAAAATTGCAATTTGAACTAAAATCTTGAAAATTTAGAAAAAGGTATCTCAGTAATCATGAATTTGTCTGGTTTACTTGAATTAATCATGAATAGTTGAACCAATTGTAGAATCTGAGGATCATTTAATTTCTTTTGGCAGATTTCAACCTTGGGTTCCATCCGACTGCTGAATAATGGATTTTAGAACAATGGATCGCGGTCAGTTGACCCTGCTAGGATCCGCAGGCTGTGTGATGCTTACGGTGCATTTCACATTACAGTTATTGTCGCAACATCTCTTTTACTGGAAGAACCCGAAGGAGCAGAAGGCGATAATAATTATCATTCTTATGGCTCCTTTATACGCTGCTGACTCGTTTGTGGGTTTATTGGATATTAAGGGAAGCAAAACGTTTTTCATGTTTTTGGACTCTATTAAGGAATGTTACGAGGCTCTGGTGAGTGCCTTCAACTTTGTTATGGTTTTCTCGTTATTGTCAACTGTCTCATATGGCTTGCACAATTGCTAACTTCTCGTGTTCCTATTTCCAGGTGATTGCCAAGTTCTTGGCTCTTATGTATAGTTACCTGAAGATATCCATAAGCAAAAATATTGTGCCAGACGAAATCAAAGGAAGAGAAATTCACCACTCGTTTCCCATGACTCTTTTTCAGGTACGAGGTAGTTTTATGCTGTTTCAGTTTCCATTGCAATGGATGTGTAAGCATAATTCATTGTATATGTTGAATCTATCATATAATAACAGATACAATGTGGCTCTACAAACTGCAGCCTCGCACCGTTCGGCTAAACCACCAGACCCTGAAGCTACTCAAATATTGGACGTGGCAGTTTGTCATAATACGCCCAGTTTGTTCTGTTTTGATGATAACTCTACAAGCACTGGGGCTGTACCCCAGTTGGTTGAGCTGGACCTTCACTTTAATTCTTAACCTTTCGGTTTCTCTAGCATTGTACTCTCTAGTGGTGTTTTACCATGTGTTTGCAAAGGAATTGGCACCGCATTCACCCCTTGCAAAGTTCCTGTGCATCAAGGGAATTGTCTTCTTCGTCTTTTGGCAGGTACAACTTGTCTGTTCTTTTGCATGCCCAATTCTTATATGTTAGCTTTAGAGAAAATGCAACCAAGGATATAGAACACAAACAAATCAACAAAGATACCGAGTAAAAGGATTTGAGACCCGTCTATAGAATATCCTAGCTATTAGTATTATCTATTGTGGTTGGTTTTGGTCTTTTGAACATGAAAATTATTTTACTTGTTCCGAACTGCTCGCCTTATTTGATAGAATTACTATGTAAGAGTGATTATTTGCAAATTACAACTTTGATTTGACATTTTCTGGTTCTATACTTGGAAGCAAAAATATGTAAGAAACTGGAAACTTCTTGTAACTGAACCACCATTCACTTATCAGCTCGTTCTATTTGGAACCACACTCGTTCTATTGGAACCAGATTTTGGTTAAACGCCACCTGAAAATTCTTTTAAGACCAATTAGTGACTTAATCTATAAACTCTTTATTGTGCCATTCGTTAACAAACGAGGCTTTGATCCAATTGCAGGGAGTGGTCATTGACATATTAGCTGCCGTGGGCGTCATTCGATCTCACCATTTCTGGTTAGATGTGGAGCACGTCGAGGAAGCTATTCAGAATGTCTTGATATGTCTGGAGATGGTTGTGTTTTCTGTCCTCCAGCAGTATGCGTACCACGTTGCGCCTTACAGCGGAGACGTAGAAAAGAAGATGTTAAACAAGAAGAGGGAGTGATTCGAAGCCTTCTCTCATGTACGTGAATGCGATTTTCCTTTTTCATGTATCAATAGTTTTACCTCTCACTCTCTCCTTCTTTGAAGATGAGGTGTTCAACTGGTTCATGTCATGTATTTCTTACAATATATTTCTCAAAGATAATATAATTATATTTATGTGTTTATTGGTTTTCATAATTGAACGATTTAAAATATTTTGTTGGAGTTGGTACAACCAAAACCATAGGACCAAATTAATATTACAGCCATCAATCATAATGCGCCCTGTTAGCTAGCAAGCCAGCGAGAGAATTTTCAGGAGGCTGGAACACGGTCTTGTACACCAAGTGTGATAATACAATTGGTTGAAATATTTTTTTTTTAAGTTTCCAACCAATTGTATTATTACACTTGGTGAACCGGACTGTGTTCTTGACACAGATGATAAATATTTCCAAGTCAGCGAGGAGACTACTCGTGCCATGAAAGTCATTCTCATCAGTGTACATATTCATTATCAGTGCATAATTTTCCCTAATAAAGTAATTAATTGCAAGTCATCCCTTTCTTGCTTATGGAAACTTAGTATTACCTTGCTCATTGCTTTGGATTTTTATTTAATCCAAGTAATTTAAAGGAATACTTTGTTTATGAGTTGTATCCAGATGTGTAGGATGTTATGTAGTCGAACAATAAGTACGTGAATAATAGATTAAATATCTAATTTACATTTTCGGTAACATAACATGTCAGACCGAGAAAATATGAATATTATTGGTTTTATTTCCTCAATGATTACAAAAAAAAAAGTTGTGGTAATTACAAGGTAGAGTTTGCACTCGGACTCGAAGCGGCAGATTATTTTGTTTTTGTTTTCTTGATCGACTGAGGCGGAAGAGACAGGGTTGGGACTAAATGAAGACGGACTAAATACTTGTTTGGTTGTTTGGTCGGTAAGCCAGACAGT